ACATGCAGCCAAGTGAATATTTTGCGTGATTGCGTTGATAATGACAGGAGAAAGTTTAACTTTTAACATAGAAGGAAAAAGAGATCTTCTTACCTGGTAGTCATTTTGAAAAAAACTGGCACGTGCTGCATCATAAATAATAAAACATTATTCAAAATCATCTTTACATGTGTTAAACATTAATCAAATATGTTGCAGAAGATGAGAACTTCCCTCTATTTTTTCATTATTATTAAATATATAAACTTAGTAAATTTCAGTCACTTCAAAACATCTATTAGATCAGGGGTGTCAAACTCAATTTCACAGTAGGCCAAAATTCAAAACTGGGACAAAGTCAGGGGGCAAACTTAATATTTATTAAAACATTGATGGCAATTGTCCATGTTTTCCCTTCTCTCCAGATACAGTATGTATGTAGTATATAACATTAAATCTGGAACAACCAAGGATTATTATCATAAACACATGAGAAATTAAATGTGAAATAAGACACACATCAGTGGTATTTGTTTTTTTATTATGTCTGCCAGTATATAGGGGCTACATACTGGCGGGCCAAATATAATTACACTGGGCCAGATATGGACCCTGGGCCTGAGTTTGACACATATGAATTAGAGCGTCCATTATTTTTTCTAGGATATATTTGTTCTAATCTGTTAATATAACAACATAACATACATTCAGACAAATCTGACCATATATCATAGCAAAACAAAGGAGGTGACCACACCCTGACCCAATGACATGATGATGACATCACTTGGGTGGTAAACTTAGGATGGACATCAAACCAAAATGTATGCACAGATATAGGTTCAAAAACCAATTGTTGCCTTGGTGTCACCCAGCAGCCAGCATGGCATGATATGGCTTGACGCAACTCTGGAAGCTCTAGAAGTGTGGAAGTGTGTGCTTCTGAGCGACTTTTCAGTGGCTTCCCCTTTGGGGCAAAAATGTAGGACAAAATTATTTTCACAATTTTATTAAACAAAAGCTGTCAAATATCATGTAGGAAATACAATATTTACAAGTGATGCACAAACAAGATGATATATCTATAAAAGGGTTGATGGTCAGCATGGAAATGGCTGAACAGACAGAAGGTGCTAAGAAAAATGTTTTTTCCAGAACCCTAAATTGATTGTTGGTGTGTAGATTTAAATGGAGCAGTGCTTTAGTCCCTCTAAAATACTTTACGGGAAGTAATTTACTTGAAATCCTTCCATCTGGCCCAGTAAAGGAGAGATCTATAACAATACTGTGCTAGTTTTTTTCAATTCAGCACCAACACTGCAAAGTTAGCACCTGAAGCAAAAACCAGTGTGAGTTTAAATAAAAAAGAAATTTGCATGCTGCAGATGAAACAATATAGATTTGTATGTACTAAGACAGGCAACAAACTGTCACATTAAAAGATACTGTAGCTCTAGGTTCTGAAGAATCAAAACAGTTATCATGGCTGACACTTTAAACTAAAAGATACTTTGGGCAGTACTCATCGTTGGAGCAAAGCTTTACTAGGAGATACTTAAATATGCTTCAACTAAGAGGTTAAACAGCATCAAGTAACATTTCACCATAAATATTTTTAATCACAGCATAACATTTGTGTCTGGTTGGGGTGGTGGTGTTCCTGGTAAAAAAAAAAACAGTTCAAGCAAAACGTGTGCAACACCAGCAGCTGATATTTTCCAACAGGCCAATTGCACATCTTTGTGTTTTCAATTATACTTTAGCAGGTAAACAGCATTAACCTGTAGACGTGGAATCAAGGTGGCTCTAAGATTTTAAAATTCACAGCCGATGATTGTGGACTTTAATAATTAAATCTATGTAACTGTCCTGGTTTTTAGGCTGTTTGTTTTATTTAAAAGTGTTCATCGAAGAAAATGCTTGAAGAAAAATATTGAGTCTGGGTTAAGTCTTTCAAAAATGATTTCTTCTTTCAAACAAGGCTGCTTGCAAATGCTGTTACTCGTGTACATTTATTATGGCAAGAACATTTTCCTAACAGAGGACTTGTTTCTCTTATGTGAATTAAAAAAAAAATGCTGGTTCACATCTAAACCGTTCTCATGTCAAATTGGAAAAAAAAAGGGCAAAAAAAGGCAATTACAACATTATTTTGAAGTGCTGCTAATCTGAATGTATTTTTCTTTGCAGAATCCATTATTGTTTAAAGCAAAATACTCACAAAAGTTGCTGCATTTTAAATTAAATGACTGCATAAATGCCATGTCCACAAAAACATTCCCACCAAAATAGATGGCAGACAACTCAGCAACATGTAACTGATGGGTGCTCACAGTCCAAAATATTTTAACAGTGACAATTTGCCAACACAGCCAACAGTCATGTCCCTTGTGCCCATTTTGAACTGACCAACAAACCAACTTTTTAGCCCAACTTTCCAGCAGAGGCAGAAAACCCATGTATGCTATTAACACTGGGGTTCAGCCAAGCTAAAGTTAATGGATGTAAAACATTAAAACACAGCACATGGGTGAGGGTGGTCAGTTTTTCAGGTATTTGAAGTCTCTTATGAGATAATTAAGAGGTTGGATATGAATCACAGGAGACAAATCAACTTGCAGAATCTTCTCAGCTTTTCTGCGAGCTTCAGCTACAGATCGAGTGTCATCCACCTTCACCATTTTCCATACTGTTGGGTTCTTTTCTTTCCAGGTTTTTCTTTGTTGTCCAGAGTTGTTCATGTCCATAGGGCCCTGACTTTCTTGGTGGAAGCCATTGCTTCTCCAGCCATTGCTGGTCAACTCTGTGTTAGTATGTGAAAACACCCGACCATTAACATAGAAGACCGGGGCAGAATCTCCAATGAGGGCACCATCCAGTCTAATGGGGCAGGATAGATTTCTCTGACTAAACAAGGCCACAGCTTTGGTTGGCGCACCACCACCATTGTGAGAAGGCTGTAAAGGTATTCCTGAAAGTGGTTGAGGGTGCTGTTGCTTGGAAGAAGCAACTGGAGGTACCCGAGAGTCCCAGTTCGTGTGAATTTGCAGTCTTGCTGTGTGTCCACCTGACAGGCCTTGAATATTTGTTAGTCGGAGACACGGCTGCACTTGCAATGGAGGCATCTTCTCTGCAGGTTGAGTAAAAGTCCTGCTGCAGACAACTGTGTGATGGTCCACTACTAACTCTGTAGGACAGACACCTTGAATCCTTGGGTTCCTTTTCTCAGAAGTGCTCCAGGACGGGTGTATCTCTTTTCTTTTGTTTGGGGGCCTCCTTCCCCTTTTCTTGGCTGGTCTGATAAGTCTGTTGGGTGGCTTCAGCATGTCTTGAGTAAGAGGTTGACTTGTGCTGGAACGGTAGCTATACACATCGTTACTACGGAGTATAGTGGCCTTGTGTCCTTCCTCATTAAGCTCCTTCAAAAATGTGACCAGCTGTTCTGTGTTGGAAGGGTCACAAGACAAAGGGCTAAGGATCTTTAAGGCATCCAGAAGAATACCTTGTCCGGCCGAAGAGATCCGTGACCAGGAGTGAATAGCTCGTCTTTCTTCATTAGTGAAGGCCAATGGCCGGCCAACCACTGGCCCTCGTACATTGTTTTCCATATTTGTACGCCTGTTGGGAAAAATAAATTAACTGTGTTCAATTAAATAAAGAAAAAGACTAATTTCTACCACCAACATATCACTCACAATTCCGTTTTATTGGCAGTGAAATCTATAGTGTCATACATAGTTATTTCAGAGGAGGCACAAATAACACACTATTGTTATCAAATCTGTTCATAGACTATCAAGAATTGCTTACTTTTAGCCTGTTTTGTCATGTGTAAGCTACACAAAGATCAAACCATGTACAATCCATAAATAAATAAGCTAAACTTCATGTTGTTTTTACACTTTACACTTCATTTCATACAACCAAGCTAAGTATGTGCTGCTGACAGAGGTGAGATTAAGTCATTGTTTTTCTAGTCACAAGTAAGTCTCAAGTATTTGCCCTCAATTCCCAAGTCAAGTCCCAAGACAAGTCTGAAGTCTGAAGTCCCAAGTCCTGCAACTTCAGTTTCAAATCTTTGAGCTTTTTAACCATAGAGAAATAATATATTTACACGGATCGTGTATGCTTTTAAAGTCTGTATTTATTTATTAAAATAAGGGTTGGGTTTGGTGGCAGCAACTCATACAGTGATTTGTACAGATAACTAAATACATATTATCAGTTCTCAATAGTATTTAATCAAGGGGGGGCCGTGAAAAACTTTCTGTCCACTGGGAGGGTATGACAGAAAATAATTGAGAACTACTGCACTAAGGCAATTAAACAGTCTCCAAGTACTGTAGAATTGCATAGATGGCAGCCAATGGCAGCAGACCTGTGTCACCCTTGTCATCTTGGTTTTGTACCCCATAACCATGACAATGTTTGCTGACTTTAGCGGTCAATGAATCCAAAAATCAGTGAGGTCTGACTATTTTCAAGATAGTTCACAAAGAACAAGAAAAACACTGCAGCCATGTGCACCATAGAGGTACCAGAACCAGCAACTTACATTTGTCGGAAGGTAAACTTACCTTTTCAGTCAAGGGACTGATGGAGAGTGAGAACAACAATCAGTGTTTGTTTTCCTGTCTGAAGGGTCTGTCTAACAGTTAGCTAAAACGGCCTATTCTTAACAGCGTACATTTAAAGTGATGTGATTATTTTTAGGTTAGTGTCTTAGGTGGCTAAAATACACGTTGCAGCTGTGTGTGATACAACTACCTCATACAACCCTACTTATTGCCGTATTTACGATGGAATGTTATTAGTGATTTTACTGTTTCATTGATATAACTACACAGTTAAGAAAATTACTTACATTAGCTTTCATTTGGAACTTACCATTCTTTCTGCAACTTCTAATGTCAAACAAAGTGTAGTTGTGTCTGGTTGGGGTGATGTTCTTGGTAAAAAACAGGAACTTTTCAAGCAAAATGTATGCAACACCAGCGGCTAATATTTTCCAACAGGCACAGTTGTAGCATCTCCACCTGTTATCTTCATGTTTTGCATACCAGAATTTGTTTTTATAGCCAAATGAAACTGCCTTTAGTATCATTTTTTTCATACCCATCAATGCTTTGTTTGACATTGTTCCCTATCCTGAAATTTGATTGAATAGATACTGTCAAATCAAAACAACATCTAATTTGATTGGATGCTGTGGACAGCGCATGCACAGACGCCCCTATATACACAATGAAAGATCCAGAAAATTCCTCAATATCATACTGTGGCATCCCGGGTGGTTGGGATGCGGGACACATAATGTACCCCAACCCAAACATAAAAATGCTGACTGATAAGATCGAGCGGAAGGTTCGGAACTGCGGTCATGTCGGGCATTGTTAAGGACAGGTTGTTGTTAAGCTGGTTCAGGTGGCCGCTATAGAATGCATTCATCAATTTTTTCATTCCAAGTGTCTATACAGCAGCAGGCAGGTAGCAAGTCAAAAATGTATGACTCAAGTCTGACTCGAGTTGAAGTCATGTGACAAAATAGGACGAAACACTTTACAGAGTATTCACCTACCAAGTTTCACAGTAATTTCTCATTCAACACTTAACCACTGCTATGGTAACATGAAACCGTCATCAGGTCTTTGCAGAAGAGACAGTCGCAAAATTCAATGGCTCGGTACAACTTCAAGCTAAAGCCACAACATGTGCTATTCAGGACAGTGCTGTTAAACACTAACATCTCACTAGGCACCAAGTAATCACAACAGTTTCGCGATAGTAGCATATGTCATTTAAATTTCACAGCTATTAGACTGCATCGTGAACACTTCATAACTCTGAAGTGACTTGCCAGCGAAGACGACGTTGTGACAACACTTAGGACACATATAACAAAAGTAAATATCGATTCTGTCGAAGACAGTATTGTATGTGAATTTGGAGTTGTGCAAACTTTCTCAACCAATTGGTTGCATTCATGCTCCTTGCCCAGTAAGACCTTAGCGCAGGCCTCGGACCTCCTAAAGAAACACAGAGTTTGTTTTTCCAAGGATTGTGGGAGCGCTGACATCTTGTTCTTTCTCCCGACTAACCATGTGATATGATTGTTTTGTTTAATCTGTGTAGTTTTGACATAACAATGAACTAATACAGCCATCCATCCATTTTCATCCACTTATCCGTTACCGGATCGCGGGGGCAGCAGTCACCACCCAAATTACATTGCACCGTACCTAAACCTTCCTGCGGGTGGTGAGTCCACTGGAAGGTACCAACCGCCCTAACCGGGATTCGAGCTTGCCCAGGAGGTGAACCCTGGGAGACATTGCCTCTGGGCCAAACCATAATAATAATAATAATAATAAAAATCTATAAATCCATTCTGATTCATTTTTTTCTTATTTTCGCCATCCAGCTATACATTCTGACATTTTGGGGTGTTTATATGTGTAATTTATTTTCTGTAGTCTATAAGGCCAGGTTGATTTAGGCTATAGTAAGTATCGAATTAGAACAGGCTAGTTTGCAGTTGCTGACTCAAGCGGAAATGTGACAACGATTCTTTCAGACACCATTATTTGTGACATTTCTAAGTGAGTGTAGCTATGTTTGTATACATATTAAATACAGACTTTGATTAGGGCATAAGATTAGATTTAGATTTTAGTTATATAATATGCCCTTGCTTCTTTCAAAATGTGTCACGACAAAAGAGGTCTTGTGATAATAACAGAAATATTATATTTCTTACAAGAATGTAGCAGACTCCTAAAAAAAATTACTATTTTGTTATTTGGCGAGAACAAAGAAACAACTTTTAAGGTCATTTGATCACTGCTAATGTCATTGCCCAACAGAAACTCACTAGCCAATAGGGGGTTGAGGTAAAATTACGTGCGCAACAGAAAATTGTCCCGTAGACCCAGCAGCGCCCCCTTTAGGATAGTTAATTTGCCGAAACACTGACAAGCCTTTTTGATTGAATTACTTCGAATCCCTCTATACGCTCTGACTACCACACATTATTATTTTTCAAGTTACACTTCTCTGGAAAAATCGTCGCCATTTTTTAAACGCACTTGTGAACCACAACAGCACTATGCATAGCTCGCCAAACACTCTCCCAGCAATCTTCTATGTGCGCTGCTAGTTGTTGAAACTGCCACGACCTCTCCGTCCAGCGTGGCTTATAAAATGTTATCCATCGTATTTTAGGAGGCCGCCATTGACGGCTACCGTCATTAGGGAAGTGTGACAGTAAAATGCGGGATTACCTTTTAACGGAGCTGTCTCGGCCTTCTCCTTAGAGTTGCTGTGCCGACAGTACAGGGTAAAATGGCTGCAACAAAAGCCGTTTGAAAGAGAGAGCAGTGTCGATAGGCGGAGGGAGGCGGCGCGGTTGAATCCGCCGAGGGTTGGGGGTGGGGAACATGCGCCAGAAACGAAAAATAAACAGTTGCCTATCCAGTCCAAAAACACATGATATATGCTCTTTGTTTGAATTTAGTAAAAAACATATTTTTTTCAATGAAAAAATAACTAAATAGACATAACCAAAACTATTGCCTGGCGTGTGACGTCATTATGGGCGGAGCGTGTCTATTTTTATGTTCTTAGCTAGAGCTTGCCAATGTACAATAAACCTACCATCAGGCAATAGGATAAAATACATATAAAATAATAGTGCAAAATGGAAATTAAAGCTGGAGATGGAGATGCCATCTGACATGTTTTTTATCCTAGTATAGGATAAAAAGGTTGGGTTTGGGTTTTAACCTGAGTCCCGAAGACCTCAAAGCATACCAGAATCTCCAAGCTGAGAAATATCACATCTCTGTCAGAAAATCATCGATATAGTTTTTCAAAATGTACAAAAGAATATGCCGTTATTAGTATCATATTACATTCACACTGAGCCTCATTGTTATTATGCATTATTTGGGATTGTTTTATATATGTAAAAATGTATATCAAAAATTACATAGAGGTTAATAATAGAGATTAGTTCCTTAAAGGCAACATCAGATTTCAATTCAAGTAGTGTTTACTACATTTCCATCTGTAATTGTATTTATAGTTTTTTTTTATTTGTTTTTTTTAAAATATTTTAGTATATAAGCATTTTTCTGATATCAAATCGTCATCTACGTTAGTTATATACCTTTTGCATATCTTTTTTAATTTTTTCGGCCCCTCTAAAGATGGCTTCCATCATGGAGCCTAGAAAACAGACGCGTAGAGAGTGCACACATCCCCATCTGTTCGGACACACTGGCTCCCCCATCTGGACAGAACAAGATCCTGACCGAACACAATATATGTAAATGTGTGAATTTTCAAAACCTACCCTGGGGATTTTGAACATCACAACATTGCTCACAGTATCACACACACAGCCACGATCCAGGTTTTTGTTCTCCATCAGCAATTCTGTAATGGGAAACAAATTGTGTTGCTTTCACTCATAATCAAACTGTTGAAGAGAAGGCTCTATGTTTCCTCCAACATCTGCAACAAGGGAACCAGAGTAAGATGGTTGCCATGGAGATAACCAACCAGCTAAAGGAGCGGTGTTGCGGTGAAAAAGGCATAATCTGGCTGATCAGTCTTATTGCCCAAATGTCCTGTTGTGTCCGCACAACGTCTGCCATTTTCATTGGCAGCAACAGGGCCTTTTTCAAGTATGGATGGAAAGCCACCAAAATAAATTGTAATAATAAATTGTCTTAAAATTTAAAACTGAACAACAACCCAACATCCTGAACCAAATAAATTACTTTGTTAAACACAAACTGATTAGCCAATGTATTAAACAAGTAAATTAAAAAAAAACAGATTATATATTAGTGGTGACACAATAACAGTATATTATAGAACCAATACAGACTAAGTAAAACATAAAAAGGAAAAAAATCAATAGCACCTTTATCAGTTCACTCATTTAACGCACTTTTAACATTGGTACATACATTCCTACAGCCCGGTAGGTGGCAGTAATTTAAAAAATATAAAATATAATATACTATATATATAATATAAATAATAATATAATATAAATATAAAATATAAATTTTAAAAATAATAAAACCTTTCCTACAGCCCGGTAGGTGGCAGTAATGCACCTAAATTTCGTTAGACCGCTGCAAAAAAAGATGAAAACAGGATTAATTGAATGATGTCAGCAAGATTGGTAAATTATGCTGAAAATAAGAGTACGTGACTTACTACATTTTTACAGCCAACACATAGCTCGATCTGTACTTATACAGTACTAAGAGAAAAACAACGACTATCTACTCCCATTCCTTAACCAGACTCACCTACCAGACTCAAACACGTAAAGAAATAAGCAAGACAAATAAAGAACATCGTACATACAGTAGTTCCTGGAGTGATACAGATAACAACTTAAAGTAAATATATATACAGCTTATAAACCCACTAATGGGCTAAAAGCATGCTCCAGAGAGAGACTCGCTTAATGTTTTACCACTGACAGTGTAGTAAAGAAGATTATTCACACCGAGACACAATAGTTTGTATCGCCTAGCGTCGTTGTCCTTAACCGTTGCTATACAATACCTCCCATCAGCAGGTGGCAGCAGCAAGCTTCATTGGGGACATGCACAGGAAATGGTTTTGTTTATAGGCAGTAACGTCCTGTCGACCCCAGCGCCTCACTCTAAAATGTGTTTTTGTCAGTGTTTCTGAACCACTTCTCTCTGATGTGACTCGGTTACTTCAGCGGGACCGATAAAGCTCAAAGGGGATTTTCGCCGCGAGCCTCTTTTACCGTAAGTCTGCAGCTATATCACCGCAGCACTATAGTGCGATGACCGTGGACGGAGTGGATCGCTCTGAGATCTGTTGAATTATTGTGGGGATCCTACATCTATTATGGCGAGTGGAAACATGAGCCACGACTCTCGGAACAGCGACTATCTCCATGCCATGGGCAGTACCGCTGATTTCTCCAGCTCTACAGCGATTGTCAACGGCGTATTAGACATGCCACAGGAAAGCTTCACAACAACAGGTGACAACAGCACCCAAGAGCGGCCCGCCGCGTCTCTGACGCCGGAGTTCCCCGAACCAACCGTGGGTGCGGAGGTGGACTGTCCTGGGGACAGTTATATGGAAGCGTCAAGTTTGTTGTCGCAGAACGAGGGCCATCAAAAAATTGCATCGTCGGAAATTGTGTCGGCCGTTCCTCCTGCTGGCCAGCGGGGCGGTCGGCGGCGCCCTCATCGGCCGGAGGACAGGAACTGCTGCTGCTGCGACGTCAAGTTCGAGCGGCAGGGTCGCAGCTTCAACCGGAGGGCGGTTTATACCTTTACCACCGCAGCCACTGTCAAGTGGGCTTTCCCCGAATCTGTGGTTCATGACAAGTCCTTTCTGTGTGAGACGTGTGCTCAGCTGATCCGGACCAAATGTAAACGCAAACAGACGGGGAAGCGCTGTCTGTGGGTAAAACCCCCTGTCGCTAAACAGGTGAGTGTGGTCCTGTGATCGCTATAGTTGTGGGGACTTTTAAAAACCAGTGTTGCTATTCGGACACTTAAGATGTTGGAACAGTTTGCTTGTCTGTATTGATTGAGGGGTTATTTGGAGATTCGTTATTCACATTGTGAGGAGTTACACCTATTTATAACTATTCTAATGTATTCTTTTGTTCATAGCCTATGTATTTGTAAAAATATTTTCTTGGTGTGGTTTTGATGACACTAGCCAGAAGGCACTGAGAGGAAGAAGAAGGAGCGCCGGATGGGTAAGAAGAGCAAGGCTGCACAACTTGTGAGCAAATCCTGCTACAAGGCTGCTTTAAAGACGCTGTGGTCTGCTAAAGGAGCCAGGAAACCCATGATGGACTTTTGGTGTAGACAGCTGAAAGAAGAGGTGAGTCTGGGGGTTTCTGATTCTTTAATGCTATTTTAATCACACTGTACTGTTCCTATAGGTTGACATGTGTCCTGTTGCACAGATGAAGCTGCTGTCTCGGCAGCAAGGAAGTCCATTTCATCAGAAGGTGTCGAGCAGAAAGGCGCTGACGTCGTTCCCCTGGCGACGATGTCTGAGTTGGGCACAGGACAGAGCTCCTCTCGTCACCACCTGCCTGCGTTCACTGTTCCCCGACATCGGCACTCTCACCAAGATCGGACAGTAAGCCTGAGCCTTGTTTAAATTTTGTTGGTTCTCCTCGTGGGTCATTTTGGCATGTACATCTAAACCTGAGCAGATATGGATGAATGATTGTTACTAATTCATTTGGTGTTGTTTTTCGTGCTGCAGCTCACTGTCAGAGGAGCAGGCACAGGCACTGCTCGAGCGCAGGTCTGTGGTGGCGCTCTCCATCCCACTCTTCACCAGAAACATCTGGAAGAACAACTTCCTGCAGGCTGCTCTTGGTGCCGAGCTGCGCCTGCAGGGCTGCTCCGGCTCTGCCATCGATACTCTCAACACCCTGGGACTGTGTCAAAACAAGGACACTATCAGGTTGCTGCTGCAGAGACTCCTGTTTGGGAAACGGACTGTAAGCTAACACTGAAGCATCACGCATTCAGTTATTGTCCTTGTTTATTTTTGTACAAATAAAAGAATCATCCCGCTGTTCTATGAGGAAAATTAAAAGATAAAAATGTTAATTCTCAACATATTTCTGCTACAATACGTGTCAGCAACAATTGTTTAACTATTGTAGTGTTTTTACAAAGCATTAATTTTGTTTGCTACTATTCTCTCTCTATACATATATTTTTTCATAATGTTTCTTTCCTCAATTTGGTAAATTATAATCTCATATTTTTACGGGGTGCACTTTTGTGGTTTGTCACAGGATGGTCAGAGAATAAAGTTGAAGGGAGAACCGATGTCAGACGTGGAGGAAGAAGACATCGGAGAAGAAGTTGAAGTGGAACTGGAGGAGGATGACGAGGAAGAAGAGGACGAGGAGGCGGAAATTGAGTTAGAAGTACAAGGGGCAGAGGAAGTGGATGAGGAAAACGTGCAGATCGGAGAAGAGATGATTGATGACGAGGATGAGGAAGATCAAGCTGTGCTGCAAAAAGAGGAGAAGAAGAGGAGGAGGAAAGAGAAGAATCTCAGGAGGGACAGAGGACAACAAAACGCAGAGGAAGAGGACGATGATGGAGCTGAGCAAAAGAAGAGGAGGGTGGTGGTGGTGAGGTTTGGTGATGACACTCAGACTTTAGATGATCTGACCTTTCAGCTGCCTAAGGCCTTATAGAGCACAGCCCTAAGTACAACTGTTCCCAGCCCCAAAAATCAGATCATCGTTACAGCCCATTTAATTTAATCATCTTTTTATGTTAAAACCCAACATGTAATCAATCAAATAATAAACACATTACCACTTAACTACATGCTAATATATTGCTGGAGTCATTTCTTCATTATCAACACAACTCCTTTTTTCCCCATTACTGTTAGTTCTAATTTCAACAAAGGCCAATCTCTTCTCTGCACCTTAGTCTGGTTCTAAAAACATTTTCCGCATCCCCATGAGGTGTAAACAGCACAGTAAAGAAGTCAGTCAAAAAAGATAGTTTGAGTTTCCTGACGTCAGCAGGTGACCGTCAGATTAAAGTTGAAGGGTCTTTATTGGAGATGACCACAGGTTTCTTCAGTTCAGTTGTTTAATTTGATAATCAGACATCAAGTGGCCCTTATTGATCCGCTGTGAAAAGACTCAAAGGTTCAGTTTGTCTGTTTGAGGCACAATCGAGACTTTGTTTTCATCTGACGTGCATCAGATTTCAACAGTTGTTTTACCAAATTTGACTCGCCACTTTTCTTTTAAATGCTAAATAAAATAAAAGTTGAGAATTTAAAAGCAAATCTGACCTTGGTTTCTTATTTCACTTGCTGTAAACCAAGAAAATGAGAGTGTATCTTTGCAAACGTTCACTCTTAGAGTTATAGGGACATCACATATGTATTCAGTGCCTGCAGTTATTTGATCAGTCAGTTTAATTTAGCAGAATACAATCTGTACAATGTTGATAAGATAAAAAAAAAAAGCATTTTAGTTTGTTAAAAGAATGACTGGGTTTTTGTTGTTGTTGCATTGAAGGTTCAATTGTTGATCTTTTGTTTCAAGTGTCAGGTCATACTGTGATGGTTGTGATTCCCCCCCACACTGCTGGTTCCTGTTATCATTTGCCAATAAACAATGTCTTGTCTTGGTCTACAGGGCAGCGTCACTTCATTTGGCAGAAAAGACGAAGAAGAAGCAAAACAAACTGCAAAGTAGGCGTAAGGCACTTCTGTTATTTACTAATTAGGAAAAAGATGAAATGTCACCAAAACACTTTCAACAGGTTAAACGTGTCGTGGAAAATTACTCCAGAAACTTATAAAAGTTAACAAATTCTCTGTAGATGTATAATTTTCCTTGCCACAAAAAAAGTCATGCGAACATGTCCAATACTAATGGCTAGGCTGAACCTTGGGCATTCCTCATCCAATGTTTACCTTGTGACATAAGCCACTGAATCAATTGAGTCGCTAAACCCAATTTTTTCTTCCCCCACTCATCCAACCAAGAGGCAGAACTTCACTTAGAGGTTCCTCTATTTGGGACCTAACAGAACAACATTTTCACCATAAGTCAACGTAAGGAGGTAGAAAGGCCACAGGCGAAACTTAGGGTGTAAATACTAAGATTGACAGTGTCAAGGACCAAAAGATTTTTTTTATTTCTGTAACAGAGTCATGTACAGCAACAAAAACATCAACTGAGCTGCTGCAGACACAGTAACTGCCAAAACTCCTAACTCCTCCATCAGGACTCAACCGTCCTTCACTGGGTTACAGTAGTAAATAGACTGAATAATTGTTTAAATATATTGACAAGAGTACATAGGGTCTGTTAAAAACAGTCTACTCACTTTCAGCATTTCAATGTTGGAATTTTTCTATTCTATTCTGTTTTGAGGATTTTGATGAATATTTCTGCCTTATTTTGGTTTCAACAGTTCAGCTGCCTGTGTTACTGGACGTTTTAAATTATTCAAGAAATACTAGGAAATTCAACTGAAAACAAGAGAAAGCAGTTCAGTGTTACCGTTACTTTGAAAGTTAGGAAGATGATTGATCGACCAGAGCTACTTCCAGAGTTTGGTTAATTCCACAATGGGTAACTAGTGAAGATTTGACTAAAACCTGTGTCCGCCGCTACAACAGCAGCTTGAACAGCTGTGTGCGTCTCAATGTGCAACACCGGACATTATGGTCTGGAGCGTTTCTTTAAAAGAAAAGTGTTTGGCTGCTATATTTACACAAATTTAATATTTTATCACTGTCTGGATGAAAACAAAGAGGAATCAGGTTGAAGCTGAACGTCTACCTGTGTCTCAGACATTGAGGGTCTTCTTGACAGAGAATATGATGTCTTTGATCTGTGGCACACTGTGGTCCTCCAGGATTTTGGCGTAGGGCATGGGGATGTCGACACCGGTCACTCTGGTGACTGGAGAGTCCAGGTAGTTGAAAGCAGGACCTGGGAACAAACAAACATGTTTTTTGTTAGTCCTGTTCGTTCATTCATCTTCTATCAGTTAATTTAATTCTTCCCAAGGTCACTGGGGGTGAGAGCCAGTCAAAGCAGTCTTCAGGTAAGAACAGGGATCAAATCTGGGACACTTTCCAACTGACTCACTTTGCTGCTCTAGTTTGAGGCTGACCTAACTCAAGCCGGACATCTAAGCTGGAGTTGGAGCCACTACAATGTGTCAAACTCCAGGCCTGTGGGCCGAATGTGACCCAAGTCACATTGCGTGTTTAATCCCCTTATAATATGCATTTTCATGAGGATGAGAGACGTATGAGCAGATGTCAACTCAGTGTGTTCAAGGACAAGAAGAATCACCTTACTAACTTCACCCAAAACCTGACTCATATACAATAGTTTTGGACTGAGATATGTGTGTGTTGTCTGTTTTTTTTAATTACTTTTCTTAACCTGATAAATTAAATTATTTTTAATTACAAAGTGCATATTACAATATTTGTAACTTGAATAAATAATTAATTGCAGAAACATTCACTAATACATTATGGAGTAGTTGCATCTATACAGTCTTCCAGTTACAATCGCCCCTTCGAGAGGAACTGTGTTGCTGTGTCGCCCACGAAAATAAGTTTGACACCCCTGGTGTACGAACACATGCAGGCTGTTGACATGGTATTTTAAGCTCAAAGTGCTTTGGTGAAACAAAAATGTTTTCCTGGGTTGAGTATGGACTGTGTATTAGAGCAAGGAATAGAGGATGCATGAGACTGTTGGACATTCTAACTAAGCATTAAAATGAACAAATTAATGTATGCAATTTACACAGTGACTTTGACAGCGCTGGTTTTGAAATAGTAAGACTTCTTTTTTTTTTTTTTTAATTGTGTCAAAACTTCTGTGATGGTCATTTTTACCTTCCATGATCCTGGCACAGATCTCTGCCCCAACACCAAACTGAGGCCAGCCCCCTTCCACCGTCACCAGATGGTTAGTCTTCATCACACTGGTCTCAATTGTCTCCACATCCATAGGACGAATGGTTCGCATGTTGATCACCTGATGTTTAGACATGATGAGCAGACATTAGTTCAGATCTGAGGACAAGTGACTCGAGCCATGTGTGTAAAACTGAGGCTCTCGCTCTCTCTCTCTCTCACTCTACCTCACACTCGATTCCCTCTTTAGCGAGGACAGCAGCAGCGTCCAGACAGTGGCCAACGTACCGAGAGTGAGAAACCAAGGTGACGTGATTACCTTAAAACATGGAAAGAATTGATACATGTGAGGTAAAATTTCTGGATGAAAATGGGATTACAGGCTTTGATTATTTGCAATGTTTCTGAATTAAACTAATCAGTAAATACATGGACATTAAACATGAGTTTGTCTCACACAACTTTAATTGAGGAAGACGTATATGTCACTCTGTGATGTGTGGGCTGCACTGGATGTTGGCGTCAACCTTACCTTGTCTCTCGATCTTGGCCTTGCCGATGGGAATGGTAAAGTCTTTGGATTGTGTCTCCTCTGACATTTCGAAGGCAACACCATACATCAACTCGTTTTCCAGAAACACCACTGCAACACACAAGGCAGATGTTCAGGACAGACAGCATCAGAAACTCATCACTCTAAATTGAAGCAGCAGCATGAATTACAATAAACAATTATACATAATCAGTTTCATAGGAAGAAAATTCACCAGGGTTGTCATCTCTGATGGCTGCTTTTAGAAGACCTTTTGCATCTTCTGAGTTCCAGGGACTTACAACTTTTAGACCTGGACAGTGACTGTACCTACAGAGAATAAACAGCAATGTCAGATACAACATTGTAGTTGTTGAATCTGCCAGAGCAGTTAGTACTTTTTTTTATTAATTCAATCAAACACTTTCCAGAAAAAAACAGATAGACATAGTGCAACTAACCTAACTTAACTTCCGATGTTAAGTACATGGTGACATACTTTAAGAGGAATTACTGCGTTTTTGAGAAACTTTTATTTTTGATGAACTTTTCCATATACACATATAGTATGTTACTTTTGATTAATAGTGGACGTACCAAAAAATCCTCCACCTGCAAATGCAAACAAGTCTAAAGTTTTCCACATGCACATCTGTTGTCACCCTACTTTCTGGGCAACATTAAGGCCCATTGCCTTTAGGATTATAGTGGGTGCATCTGCCCACATGACACTACCAACCAATCAAATTTTCATTTCCGCTTAGCGCAGTCAACCCAGTGCTTCCAAATGCTCTTTGTCCCTAGATTTATCAACTCCATAACGTTACAACTCAAGTCAAAATGTTGACAACAAAAAAAAAACTACAAATTTTTATTGTCAATGTGGTCCTAATACTTAGTTGTA